AAAGCTCGCTCGACTATTAAGCCCAAAGGCTACGCGAGTTCGAGCCAGTTCTCGCTCGGGGACTATTCATAAAGCCTCAAGGCTATCTTCACTTCGAGTTCGAGCAAAAGCTCACTCGACTATTAAGCCCACGGACTACCCAAGTTCGAGTAGGTTCTCACTCAAGGACTATTTATAAGGCCTCAGGGTTATCTTTATTTTAAGATTGAACAAATTTTCGCTAAATACGGGCTGTCCGAGTTCGAACAAACTCTCGCTCGGGGGTTACTTGTAAAATCCTAAGGGCTATCTTTATTCTCAGATGATCGAGCAAATGCCTGCCCAGTTGCGAAATCTAAAAGATGCTTTAGTTCGAGAAGCTTACCACTCGAGGACTATCAGCGGGGCCTAAAAAGGCTAGGCTTTATTTCAACAATCTAGATCCTGCTCTCACTCAGTTCGGACCCAGAAGTCCCGGCGACCTAAGTTCGCATCAAATCAATATAGGCTTAGTCTAAGGGATAGCAGAGAGATCCAAGGAATGTCATATTAACCATTTAAAAACCTAAGGGTTTATTATGGCTGGGTCCAGTATTCGGACCGATTGATAAAGTGATACAATTGGATTTCTCACAAACGAAGGCAAAATGGAGTCCAACACAAGCTGAAGGCAAAATAAGGAAACTCATATATTAATAAAAGACGATTACAAAGGCCCACGAGGGGTCCTCACACAGAAACAAAGAAGCAAAAAACAACAGCTGAAAATCCTAATCTACTTTCGGGGGTATATCCTCGGGAGCGACATCTTCGAGAACCGTTTCCTCGGGGACCCCATTTCGGTCTTCTGAGTGTTGTCTTCGAGAACCTCCTCCGAAGCAGCAATAGATGAGGAAAAGGCTATAGCCTATCAAAGAGCAAAAGCTTTTAACAAGCAAGAAAAATTGTGGCCCGGTAAAAAAGCTTGGCGAGTATGGGTCTCGTCAGCACTACTATTGTGAAGCCACTTCTTGATACATTGCACCGGTGTGGGATGCAAAAGCTAGTAAATAGCACTACCTCACTCCATGGAAAGAAAAAGGAGTGAAGCGCCACACCAGGTTGAAGTTAAGAGAGATGAGCAGCGGTTTACAGTCCATATATCTTCTGATGCGGGAAGAGTTTGAGGCCTCTCTCTCATTATTTCGGAACAACAACAACAACAAAAACAACAACAACAACAACTTAGTATAATCTCACTCAGTGGGGAAAAACCCTGAAAAAGAGCCATGGCGTAACTGACATAGCTGTTGCCATATGACCTTACGATCACGGGTTTGAACCATAGAAATAGGAGTTAGGGGAGGATGTAGAGAAGGAAAGGGCTAAAAGCTGTTGAAGAAAGACTGAGTGAAGTCTTGCCTCAAGCAATCCCCATTTATAGAGAGATAGTAACGTAACCGACGACGCAATCAATGCATTTGGGAAAACGTATCAACGACGCAATCAATGCTTTTGGGGAAACGGATCGGCGGCGCAATTACCGCTTTTGGAAAAATGAACCAGCGGTATGTTCAATGCTTCTAGGGAGACGAACCGATGGGATGTTTCAGTCACCTCGAACGCTTACGTCACGAGCATGACATCATCATGAGAGGCTCGAGAAAATTGAGGTCAAAGTCGTTTCATATCATTCTATTCTAAGAAACGTGGGGACTATCTGTATATGGTCGAAATCAGAGAAGAACGATTTGAGGCTTCTGTGGTAGTTCAAGCCCGGCCTCGGTAGGATCAAAGCACGGTCCAAGGCCCGTCCTCGAAGCAGTCACCTCGCAAAGGTATGTCGAAGACTCACCATGGTTTGCCTCGAGGTAGTATGAAAATCGATGTCCGTTATTGAAAGGCAAAAAACCCCCGAGGGCACACGATGAGGACTGACAGAGTCTGCAAGAATAGTACAAATCCGTACTGAGCCGTTATACAGCTGTATTAGTAGCATTTGTTCGTCATTTATTAGTCATGTACTGTGTTGGGATTCACTCCTCCTATATAAAGGGGACCCTTATCATCTTGTAAAGTCTCTTGGACAATCATTGAATACACTCACATTGAATACAATACAACATTCCCTGCTCTTTGCTAACACAATTGTTCTTCACATTTATTGTTTATTCTTTCATTGTTCATCCATTGCTCATCCATTGTTCTTCATTTATTGCTCATTATTAACTGCATAAGGCCATCTTTGAGGCCCTCATTATTATTAATTCTTTATCAATTGTTCATTGCTATTAGTCCCATCTTGACCTTGAGGCTCTGCTCCAGCCAGCTCGAGGCCCAGCCTCGTGACCCTATTGGTTTGCATTTCTAATTTTCTTTACTTACATTTAGCATCTACTGCCCTACAACTAGTATTAAAATAAATCACGTATTTTTAGAACCACAAAATCAAATATAATTGTAGTTACCATTTCCAAGGTAAACAAAACTCGTTTTTGAATGTGACTTATTTTTTTTCTTTTTCTGAAAGTTATATTTTGTGAGTAAACTATTATGCTCTTTTATCCATTTTTTGTATTCATAGGAGGTAGCATATTGGTTCCTCCAGGCATTTAATTTAATTTGAGAATAGAATTCTTTTTTATACATTAATCATCTATTTGCTCTAGGAAGGCATAGCTTGTAATAGTATTTTTCGTGTAACTTTTAGATGTCTAATCCTCTCTATAATACAAGTCTGTGGGATGATTTCTTTCGAAATATAAGTTTAGATGAGCTACGATACAAAATTAAGGTCTATTAATTTGTGACAGAAATATAGGATTTATATTCTAGAGTTCTTTAAATACAAAGTACTCAACTCTGTTTATCACATTATTTGTTTTTCTTTTTAACAAATTTGGCAAAAGGCGTCATAAATATTTTTAACTAGTAAATTTGCTCGCGCTTCGCGCGATCGTTAAAAAAAAAATTAAAATATGGCTAAATAAGTAACGGCATATAAAAGAAAATCAATCTTTACTAATTAAAAATTTCTTGATGATTTTATTATGAACTATTACAATGGATAAATGGCCTATTAAAATTGGTAAAATTAAATTAACATTAAAGTCTTTTATACAAATAAAAGTTAAAATTTCATCTATACTCACTTGAAAATGAAAGTCGTAACTTCAGATATAATGCCTCCAGCTTCATTTAAATGAAGTGAATCCTCCCTATTATTATAGTACTACTTAAGAAACAAAAAAAAAAACTTTAAATAACAATTTACTAACTAACATAAAAAATTCAGTTTTTGTCTTCTTAAAACAAAATAGGAAAATAGAATAAAAGGAGAGGATTATCAGAAAAACTTTTACATATAGAGAGTATATCAAATTGATTTATTTTGTTTACTATCATAAAGAGTATATAGCTATTAATGGCGCTTCACTTTGACTAATATGACTTCACTATTCTCAATCTCTACCTCAATTTTTGTATCCTTGTATCCTATCACAAAAATAACTTTGCAAAAATAAGTTCATGTAGAGCATTGTGGTGCCCATCAAATATTATTACAGGTCAAAGATTTATCTCTTAGCCTTCAAATTAGTTTCATTTGCAATATATTGATTTATTTATTTTTGTACTGAAAAGGGGTTATAGCTGTATGATATGAAAGAACCAATTTCATGTTGAGCATAGTATCAGTTCTTTGGTTATTATACAATTCATCATATGCAATTTTTAAAGCAAGAACCAAATAGAGAAATGAACACCTGTCTCAGAATATACAATTAATAATAAAAGCTATGGTGACAACATTTCTAGCAAGGGAAATATACACTGTAAAAATCAAGCGTGTGGCACCAATAATTTTATCTCAAGGCAACTCATACGTATAAAAACTGAACTTATATTAGTGCTTCTAGTGTGTCCGCCTTATGTAGTGTTGGAGGAATATAACTACATTACATTTGAAACTCTTATCAAGCTAACCCTGAGTCATTCAAATCCTTTTTCATTCTAATTTAAGTACAAAGGAAAGTAGGGATCAGTCAAATTCTCTTTATTCTAATTTAAGTACAAAGGAAAATAGAACTTTTTAACAGCCCATGGAATAAAAAAAAAATCAGGGCTCTAACGAATCTGAGGAGAGCTAGCTACCATAATTAAACCCAGTGGTCAACCACAATGATACATGGTCCATGAGTTTTTTCTTGACCTTACTGCCAAATATCAAGCAAATGGAGCAGTGGAGTCCTGCTCTTCTTCGTTACGTCGCATTTTGTTTCTGCAATCCTCCTCACAAGCAAATTTGAGCCCCAAAAAATCCAACATGACCCAAGTATAAATGACCAAAAGGATTAATGCAAGCAATAGATTAAAAAGGGAGAAATTGTCTCAACAGCACTTATGTACTCACTACAAAGAAATCCTAAGCCAAGATAAAATTAAATATATATCAGGTATACATCTACAGAAATTTGCGTGAAGAACCTTGAAATCTTAGAGTTAACATAGTAGTAATATATCGAGTACATGTCTACATAGACAATTGTAGGAAAAATAAAATTCATTACCACCAATAATGAGAATCAGGAAGAGCAAAAACATAAACCTATAAGCACAATAATACACTTACAGAAATTAAACTCAAAAAAAAAAAAAAAAGAGAGAAACTTATGTCACAAATGCAGAGTTAAAAAGATTTAGATGCATAAATCACGTGTTTGAGGCCAAATACTTGTCCATACTCAAAACTTGATTCTTCAGTATTCCTACAAAATACCAACATCAAAATTTCTCCAATAAATCTGAAACAACAATAGGAAATAGTCTTTCTTTACAAAAAAATTTTTGGTTTTCAATGGTCATGATAAAACAGCTACAATAACAACCACAAGAAATTGAACATAAAAAAACTAAAAGGGTCTATATAAAATAAAGCCAGACGAAAAGACCAAAATGCTTAGTTACCTCTTTCAATTTAAAGTTCTGGCAGTTACTGTGTGAAATATTTTAAGTAGGGGAGGGGAAAGTAAAAGAACCAAAAATCTTTTACGACGGCAAAATGAGATGGGAAAAAGGCAAAAAGAAAAAAAAAGGAAAAATTGATAAATAACATTCACGAAGCTGATTGAGCAAACAGATCATACAGAAAATAAACATCTTAATATCAATGCATAAAATGTTAGATGAAAAATCCATTAAGCGAACACATTCAAGAGTAAGCAAATCTCACAATGGACAACAAAATAATCAAAGATACAATCTTTTTTACTATAAACAAAACCAAAATGAAGAAAAACCAAGAATATAAGATACAGACATACATTTTTTAAATTTAAATAATTTTACATCTTTCATGAAAATTGAACTATACCAATTAGAGTTGGTCATTATACAGTTACCTTGGAGAAGAAATGTGGGGAGGGAGATAGTCGTTGACCGGTGGTTCTTCCTTTCTTTATAATTTGTTTGTTCCCTCTTGCAACAATCATATAAGTACAACTTCAATACAGTTATTTAATTGAGAAATACATAAAGTCAAAAACCAAACAAAGGTGAAGCTTTGTACATTCAGATCTTTCTGACCGACGATATTAGCGTTCTGCCATGTTGATTTCTTCTCAGGCTTGATATGGTTGTTGGATTGAATTTTTCTCCTTTGTTGATTGTTGATTTATTCTGTATTTTTGGAAGCGTTGGGATTGAAGGCATTTTGTTGATAGTTAATTTATTTTCTGTGTCTAGTGAAATAGAAGATTTTGGTTTGAAACGTTTCCAATGAATTTTGAAACGCTCCTTCTCTAATTAGTTGTTATTATGATGTTGTAACTGAAACTTATTTATTTATATTTAGTAATTGAGTTTATTGTGTGAAAATTTAGAGGAAGAAGTCAAAAAAATAAGAAAAAAAGATAAATAGAATTCCTACAATATGGGATATGCCACATCATCTTGTCAAGTCCCTCCTTTATATATATATATAATAAACAGTCGTGATTTATAGTATACTCTCTGACTCGTTTTGTATACAATGCTTTATTGGACCTATGTTTAAGATGCTATTTTGAGTAGAAGAATGATAGAATAAATAGTTGAAAATTTATTTTAATTATAAGAACGTCTCATCACAGTTTAAAACTTTAATTTCAATATCAATTTAAAATTTTAAAAGTTGTAAATTTTTTATAGAACAATTTTTCAATAAGATATCTATGAAATGATATTAAATATCTTAAGATATCTCAAAACTAATTGAAGTGTCGCTGATTGGGACATATAGAAAGTAGAAACGGGCATTCCCTTTACTCCTTCCGGTCTATAATAAGTAACTTTTTAGCCTTTTCATTTTGGTCCAAAATCAGTATCTTTTTATATAATCAAGAAGGAATTAATTTTACAACAACAACAACAACAACCCAGTATAATCCCACACGTGGGGTCTGGGGAGGGTAATATGTACGCAGACCTTACCCCTACCCCGAAGGGTAGAGAGGCTGTTTCCAGGAGACCCTCGACTCAAAAAGCAACAGAAGCCGATATATTAGTACCATAAAAATGCATAATAAAATAACAGCAATACAATAATAGCAATACAATAGATATGAAATACATAATACGACATACGAAAAAGATGACTGGTATAGTAAGACTAGCAGGTAAAGCCCTGCATCAATAGATGACCAATGACATTCTTAGTCTAACTCCTAACTGGCTAGTCTCACTCTATTGTGATGTAGAAATATTTACAACTCTCCCCTAACCTACAACCTTAATACTCGACCTCCATAATTCCCTGTTAAGGGCCATGTCCTCAGTAATCCGAAGTCGCGCCATGTCCTGTCTGATCACCTCTCCCCAATACTTCTTAGGTCGTCCTCTACCTCTCCGCGTGTCCACTACAACCAATCGCTCACACCTCCTCACCGGTGCATCAGTGCTCCTCCTCTGAATGTGCCCGAACCATCTGAGTCTTGCTTCCCGCATCTTGTCCTCTATGGGGGCCACGCCCACCTTCTCTCGAATATCTTCATTCCTAATCATAAGGTGGATTTATCAACATTAGATAATCCCTTGTTAGATAGTGAAATTAAGAGAGCAATCTTCTCTTTCAAACCCTTTAAAGCGCCTGGGCCGGATGGCCTACACCCTTTCTTTTTTCAAAAATATTGGCATATTATTGGAAATTCAGTGCAAACCTTTATTATGATATCTTCAACACCCAGCAAATCCCTTATGACATTAACAAAACATATCTTTGTCTAATTCCAAAGTTTCCCAATGCAAACAATATAAAAAACTTTAGGCCAATCAGTCTTTGAAATACAATGTACAAGACGGTCACAAAAATTCTTGCAAATCGTCTTAAGCCCTTTCTGGAACAAATTATCAGTCCCTTCCAAACAAGTTTTATGAAACATAGAAGAGCCTCCGATAATGCCATTATAATTCAAGAGTTAATTACTAACTTAAAAAAATCAAAAGGGAAAATGTCACGACCCGGATTTTCCACCATCGGGTGTCGTGATGGCGCCTACTATCGGAGCTAGGCAAGCCAAATATTTAAAACACCTTTCCTGCTTTCTTTCAAACAATATAATAAACGAGACAAAATTTAAGCGGAAGACTTTAAATCTAAAGCAACTGAAAACCAAAAGTGCGGAAGTTTAATACACATCACTACCCAAGGTCTGGTGTCACTAGCTCACGGACTACTACAGAATACTACAAACAATGTCTGAAAGGAAATACATCATGTTTGTCTGATACAAGATGAACAAACGATAAACATGAAAAGGGACTTTGGCCTGCAAATGCCAGCTAGGCTACCTCGAGAGTCCCTGGACTGAAGATAGCTCCCAGAAGTCCTACTGCTGAGGTCCGTAAGCTGCTCCCTGATCTGTGCACAAAAATGCACAGAGTGTAGCATCAGCACAACCGATCCCATGTGTTGGTAAGTGCCTGGCCTAACCCCGGCGAAGTAGTGACGAGGCTAAACCGGACCTACCACAATTAACCTGTACAGATATATATACAAGTGCAAGAAAAAAACAATAACAAGATAATACAAAGTAAAACTAGGAGTGGACATGCTATCGGGGAGTAACAGGTAAAAATAAAATATCGGAAATAAACAGAAGAAACTCCGGTTCCCATGATATATATATATATATATATATA